GTGCGGGCCGCCTGGGTCGCTATGGCATCTCAGGCTGCTGGCTGTCACTGGCGGCTATGAGGAGGAACTCGCCGCTGTTCAGATCACTGACAACCTGCCAGTGATCTGTGCAGTGGCGCATTCCTCCTCACAGCCTCTGCTGAGTCAGTGACAGCCAGTAGCTGCGGGGGAGGAAGAGGCTAGGCCCGGCTTTGGCAGCGGAGGAAAAGGCGGGGCCCAGCGATGGAGGAGGAGTAGGCGGAGAGCGCATCGGGGCTGACAGATATGAGGTGTGCAGGGGTTTGACCAGCCCACCTGAGACCCTGCAGAGCCCACCATATAGAGTCTATGGTGGGCTCTGCAGGGTCACTGTCAGGTGGGCTGTTTGGGATAGCAGGTGGGCTCTGCAAGGTGCGCAACTAGAAATCACAGGGCCCCATACAAAGTTTTGCTTTGGTGCCCTGTGATTTCTAGTTACGCCCCCCTGGGTTGGTACATGCACCTTATGCCCTATACAAGGGATGGCCCTCCAGCTTTGATGCAACTATGCATTGCACGACTCTGACACACACAGGCATGACTCCCAGAAGCAGTTGCATGATGGGATTTGTAGTTTCACCACAACTGGTCTTTTCCTACACCTACCCTATACAGTAAACAGAACCAGTTACTTTACCCAGTATGAGCAAAGTACAGGTCCACTTTAATGGAGGCAAGCTGTACATGTATGGTTCGCAAACACTACTAAATCGAGGATGCCAAAAGCTGTAAGATAAGACAGAGAACAAAATGTCAGTAACACATTATATCATCGTATTGTAATATCCTATGTTTTATCTTGGTTTCCAGTTTTCCATCTGTTTATTTATTTTTTGTTTAAAAAAGTGTTGGCACACAACGTATAAATGATTTCTCAACTGTTACCCATCACCACCGCCTTTAGATAAAACAAAGCAAACAGCCATTACTTTGATCTACAGTCTCATGTTCCCTGGTTATCAGTCACCAGGGTGGGCACAAAGCAAGAACACCTCCATATATACCAAGAGGCATCTGCCACGTGTTCAGAAACAAACAGAGGTTGCCACAGACTGGAGGCAAACATGATGCATTTGCCCTCGGGGCCAGCTACCGATCCTACTCTCACTCTTACTTCATCTTGTGCCAGTTAAAACACAATAACAAAATACAGAAAAGTGAATAAATATCAGCTGGCAGAGCAGACTCAGTTCAAGCCCCGTTGTATTAATGTGGATCTTCTTTTTAGATTTAAACTACGGTAATCTAGAGGAGATTTACCCCGATTTCTTGTATGATCAACTGGACAGGATATACAAGGAAAAGATCTCTAATAATGTTGGGTTTTTACTTTCTTTGTGCCCATCAAGACAGGAAGTGAGAATCTCTCCAACGGCGAAAAAAATCTTGACACAAAAATTAGATGAGTTGTAAACCTTCGTTACTCTGTCCAAGCTAATGTTTGACTCATGGCTGTAGGAAGGGTGAGGCGAGTGAGGCGAGTGAGGCACAGTTGCAAGGGGCGAAGCCAGACCCGGACCTGCTTAGCCTGGTGTGGAATTTCAATTGCTCGCCGCCCCGGGACATGCAGTCCTGAGTGCCAGGCGGGTAGTTTTTTTCCTACATTTAGCCCTGCTTCGGGCAAGCAGGGCTAAATGTAGAGCAGAGGAACTGTCGCTCATTTTGTATGGCTGTTACAAATGATTAGCCGCTTAGATCACTTGTGCTGCTTGTCCCAGCTCCTGTGGGCAGCTCAGCTATGTACCCTGCAGAGTAGCGCTGTCAGTATACTCCCCCCTTCCCACTGTGAAATGCCAGGCTGCCTCATCACCCCTTCCCAGTCACTCCTGTAATGTTCAGCTAGCTAATGGCAGACGGGAGGCAGCGCAACCAAACGGTTGCATCATTCATTCTTGGAGAAATAAAAACAAATCCGTTGCAGTGGCTCCACTTCTGCTGCACACTTCCTCTTTTTTCCAGACATGAGCGTGATCAATAAAGGGTTTTGCTGACATATAGACAGACACACACGCCCATATCTATCCATGTCCCCATGCTCTGTCCCCATCACCCCCTTAAAATCCCCTTTACTCCCCTGTTCTGTCCCCATCATCCCTTAAAAATCAATTTTACTGCCCTGCTCTATCCTTATCATTGCCTTCTCTGTTCCTATGTCCCTTGCTCTGACCCCATCACTCCTTACAAATCCCTTTTACTCCCCCTGCTCTGTCCCCATCTTCCCATGATCCCTGCTCTGTCCGCATCACCCCCTTAAAAACCTTTGCTCCAGTTGCTTTGTCCCCATTCCCCGTAAAAATCCCCTTTGCTCACTTGCTCTGTCCCCATGTCCCCTGCTCTATCCCTATCTCCCCTTAAAAAAAAACATTTACTTTCCTCAAAATGACCTCGGGGGTGGCACAATTTTCTGTTTCTGCACAAAAGGAGCTAGCTACTGCTCTGGTTTCACTGGAGTTACACTTTAATAAACTAAAAACTGAAACAAAACTATTTCACTTGGTTGTTCTGTGCTTTCTTACAGAGATACAGTGCTCCACAAAATGAGAGCTAAGGCGACACAATTGCATATGTAGTGAAATAGTGCAAAATTGTGCAATGATGTAAGGTGCACAACGCAGTATCCCATAGCGACCACAATTCAGTTTACTGTCCGCTAGTTTTCTCTTTTATGTTTTCCATTATTAAAGCTTCTTAGAGAAGGAATTTGTTCTAGATCATAAGCTTAATAATAGCATGCAATGTCAAGCCGCAGTTTCTAAAGCAAGCAAAATACTTTCTTGTATTAAACGGGGTATAAACTCCAGAAAGAGAGACCTAATCTGCCCCTGTACAAAGCATTAGTAAGACCTCATCTGGAATATGCAGTTCAGTTTTGGACTTCAGTTCACAAAAAGGATGTTGAGGAACTGGAGAAAGTGCAGAGAAGGGCAACTAAACTGATAGGAGGCATGGATGGGCTCCATTACATGTGACCATTCACGGAATTCTGCTTCACGAGCAGATGCAATGAAGCATGGCAGACCAATAAAATTGCAGTTTTTGGAATAAAGAATAATATAGTAATTAAAGTGAAATTCCATTTAAAACATTTTTGCCGGTTTATACCAAAAAGGGAAAAGTGAGAACCTCTATCAGTTTTTATTGCTACCTGTGTGTTCATTGAAAAGTTTTGCCTGTGCTTCCTGTCTTGGTAACTGGTGGTCAGCAGGACAGGAAGTATGGGTAAATCTGAAAATGGGGACACTGTTAAACCATTCTTTAGGGATGGCTCAGAACCTCTGCTTGGTTATTACTGTTGTCTCCGTCCCCATTAGGGCCTGTGTCGTTGGGCTTTTGTTCGCTTCAAGTGGGTTTTGCATTGCCATACAAGTCTATGGCAATGCAAAACCTGCTTGCAGAAGGTCAAATTCACCTGTCAATAAATTCTCAATGATATCTTAAACTGATGTTATACAGATGTAATCACCACAAGCCCAAAGTCTATCTACAAAAGGCCCTTGTGGACATTTCACCTTACTTCCTGCTCCAATGACAGGTGGTCTACAGGACAGGAAGTGAGGAATGTTTTCCCTAATGGGGTCATACATAGCTGTCAATTTTTAGAGTTTTTAAACTTCCCCACTCTATCCAAAGACAAAATAGGTATTGATTGGAGTTCTACCTCAACTAAGAACCAGTCACATTCCTAAAGAGCAAAAATAGGAGAGGGAACAAAAAAAGAGAGAGAGGCATGGAGAACATATCTGAGATTTAGCGGTTATTGTGGAGATTTTCCAACACGCACCTTACTTCCTATCTAGCATTTCCATCAGGGCCTTTTTGCTAGTAAGCCTCCTTCAGCCTAACATAGCTGCTAATGTAATAGGTGCCATTGTGCTTAATGGCAAATGTCAAATTAACACAAAGTACAGCATATGGACATTCTGAAATACATATTGTAAGCAGTAGCTTTTTTCTATGTAAAGATAACAATTACCTTTTAATAGATTTGTGTTCTAGTGACATTTAACAGTTGATGCTTCACTTACCTGCCCTCTCAGAAGAATTGGAAACCTCATTGGCCTCCAAACCTGTTAAAAAATGAATATACACACAAGAATCCCCAGAATCCTCCTCGGGGAGAGCGTCACATGACACGGGGAGACCTGCTCCCTTCACAAGGTCCCAGCAGGCATCCTGTAGGGCCTTACAGTACCCCCGACATGGCACCGGTGGAGGCACCAAGGAGGAAGTATTACACCTTGGCACTAGTAACAAACAAAAAAACCACTCCAGGTAGCGGTGACAATGAGATTTAAGAAGCCCCTCCCAATCATGCAAAGCAGCCTGAACTTCCAGCACACTGGTATGATTCAGATAATTGGGCAGCATAAAAGTTTCAATCCCCAATTTGTGGCAGAAAGGCAGGTTGGTGGGGACAGGCAAGCAATGAGCAACTGATTGAGTCAATTTGGGGAAATCTAAAGCAGTCTCTGTGCAATTATTTCTAGAAGCTGTAGCGGTAGAAGCTTTAGTGCTGGTTAGTAAATCAGGATCAGATGGATTGGCATTATGATGTCCCTTTGAATGGATTACATGTGTATTAGGAGCAGGAGCAATGACAGTAGTGGCTACTATCCCATAATGTTTAGGGAGCCCAATTCTCTCATCATTAGATTGATCTGACTGGTCTATAGGATTATGCACATCTTTCTTATGTAACAGTGAATCTGAGGAATTTATCACATAATGGGATAGGCCACTGACAAGAGAACCTGTCATTATCATTGAAGAGGCACTATGCATGCTGCCTGCGTGACCCGTGTGCGTGGTCTGTGACTCCAGTAGGGTTGGGGGGGAAGATGGTCCTTTTAATTCCCGATTGTTGGTCTTGGGCAGAGACTCTAAATTCTGAACTTCCTCCTTGAGGTTTCCTGAAAAAGACTGGTTGGGTAAAGGTGTAGGCCCAGCCTCCACTGCAGGGAAGACTAGAAAAGAAGCAATACCTGGTTGAGCAGATGTAACATTTCTTGAAGGCACCTGGGTGACGTTTAGGGTCTGGTTATTGGAAAGGGCTAATGGGCTATGTGTATATTTTTCTGTGGTGTTGCTGCTGTTGTCCTGCCCCATGCCATACTGACTTAGGTTGCCACTTTGATTTGCATGAAGGGTTACATTGATTAACTCCCCTAACTCTTGTTCAGCAGGTGGTTGGTCAGTAGAAGGTAGCAAGTCCTTATCTTTCTCTTCCCAAACATTCATGAAATCTCGAATATTTTCAGCAACATTTAAGATCTCAGCACCCACGCCTGCAATATTTTTATCTTTAGTCTTCTGAGTGGTTGAGGCCTCAGGCAGAGAGGTGGATACATCATTTGATGTAGGTGTTGCATGCTGAACATCAGAACCACTGTTTAGCCCCCCTTCATGAATCTGAAAAATATTGAAAATCTGATTTTCTGGAGGCTTTTTAACAGTCGCAGGAGATTCTGGAATTTGCAGCTGATCGTTCAAAGAGGCTGCTGTAGTCACAGTGCCAGCAAGCTGTTTCTGTGTGGTTGATGTGCTTGAATTTGTTGTTGAAGCGGCTGGGATAGAAGTCTGGTTAGATGGAGAAGACGCAGCTGCAGATGAAGATGTTGTAGCTGCAGGCTCTGAAGATGGAGACGTTGCAATTGTGATGTCCTTTTCATCCCTTACTGTAGAAGAGGTCTCCTTGCCTACAATTGTCCTTGCTTTAGGAAGGCTGCTTCCTTCGGGAGATAATGAATCAGAGGAATGAGGTGCTGCAGTAGTAGCCACAACTGCAGGCTCGATGGTTGTCTTCAGTTGTTCAGCAGGAATTGTTGGCTTTGCACCCCAGCCAAGCCAGTTAAAGAGCTGTGCATGAGGCAGTGCAGGTAAGGTCAACAGCAGGATAGCCAGCACAGGCCAAAGCTGTGTCGGAGCCATAGCAGAGAGGCTCTGATCCCTTACACAAACTTTGACTGTTCACATTGATTTGTCCTCTACAGCTAGCAAACTACACTTTTACCCTTCACACAAGAGCTGAACTAGTAGAGGTGTGGCTATACAAATACCAAAACCATGCCTCCTTATCAAACGCCGGCCCCACAGCGTGTGGAAAAGCTGAAACAACTGCAAAATGCTGCACAACTGACTTCACTCTTGACTAAAAAAAAAAAAAAAAATCAAAAGGATGACAAAAGGCATATTGTTGAGTAAAGAGTGCACAGCTGTAAGGAGTGTCCGTACACTTACACAGCTACAATTTTATCATCATGCTGCAGCGCGGGGACATTTGATTCCTTCAGCAACCTACTGCTGGACAGATACTGAGAAGCTGCTATCCTCCACATGCTTTGCCTGGCGTGCTGAGACTTTTAGTGCCACAGCAGCTGTAAAGTTAAATCTCCCAAAGTATAGGAAACACGGTGTCGTTATAGCTTGATACTTTGTCTAAGCCCCCAGTCACATTTTAGAGTTTTTCCCTAAGCCTGGCTACTCTCAACATTCAGAATACAATTGTTTCTAATTGTGTCTGTTCACATTGGAACATCCTACGCTTAAAGAAATATATGAGCTTTTTCTTAGCCTCACAGACTTCAACTGGAGCGCCTGTCAATATGCAACGTGTGTGTTTATCCACCTGGAGAACTGCTCTGGTCCCCTTGCCTGAAGGTTGAGGCCTGGTTTACATCTGCGCGTTCGTGCGCAGTTGCGTGCATTTGCCGCCCGGCCCTATTGATTTCAGTGGGGTCATATCCACGCAGCAAACAGGCTCCTGCACCTTCTTGTGGGGTGCGCTTTTTCTACCGCATTTGTGTGTCATGCACGGAAACCCGCGCCACTTGCTGGACGCGTTTGGGGTGCCATTTGCAATGAATGGCATCGCAAGCATGTTTTGCGGTTGTGTGGGTTTTCGTACTTTCTCGGAACGCCCAGGTGTGAACCGAGCCTGATGCGTGTGCAAAAACACTTGCGCAAAGCTTTAAAAATTCTTCAAAAACACAAAAAAAAACCTTCTACATTGCCGGAAATACGTTCTGCTAAGGTCTACAAAGGGGAGGGATTGGCAAAGTGACTGTGTGGTCCATCACAAACTGAGATATTTTTGCTTTTGTTTTATAAAAAGCACCGGAAAAAAGAACATCTGGAGTCTTATTGGTTGCTATAGGGAACATACAATCTTTGATCTCCTTGTTCTTAATAAAAATTCTTACACTGTGCTAAACACTGATGTCAAACACAAAAAGAACATGATGGTAAACAGATTCTGAGCTACTGAATGTAAATGTATTGGATTTGGAGATTCACAACAGTCAGAACTGGTCGCAAATTAAAATCACATTAGATCCCGAAGTAAAAGTTAATAGCAAGAGAGAGGTAGGCATTGTCTAGGTCAAAGGTCTTTTCTGCTCCAGTGCTCACAGCGTCTTATGCTGAGCCCCCAGCACTCACAGGAGGGAAGCGATGTGGGGGCTAAACACATGACCTTCTAGTTAATTCTCACTAGTAACAACTCAGAAAACTGATATTTCAGAGCAAGAGGAAACAGAATGATTGGAAAGAGAATGTATCATATGCGCTGTTCCCCGATTATACTATCACTTTTATTTTGACTATATACTTACCAATTTGCTTGTTGAACATTCAATTTGAGTCTCTGTGTACATTAAGGACAACTATAGAAAAAATATATATTCTAGTATCTGCAATGATATTTTTCAGTATATAAATTCCTTTTTTATTTTATTTTGCATGACTAATTATTTTTTCCTTTTATTTATTAATAATTTTTCTTTTTGGCCTGCTTTAACAAAATGCTGTGAATGATTGTAGTGGCAGTCTCCGAAGTAGAATCAGGGAAGCTTGATCATCAGCACACGAGAGCTCTGTAATCTCTTATCATTAAGTCGTTTGTCCATCTAGGACCAGCCTTTGGTTGCAAAACAGAACGTTTGATTGGGTTGTGTTGGGGTTAACTAGGGACTGATGGCAAGAAATTTCAAGCTTCAAAAGTACTGGTTATAAAAAGAGAATTTTCATATCAACATCTTGGAAAAATCTCCAACTTGACATTCAATTGTTCATTTCTGCCCACAGAAAATACACATTTTACTGTGTACCACACCCTAGCACTGAACAGCACTATGATGAGAGCTACCAGTGTGTAACGTATGAATGGTAGGCAGCGAGAAATCCACCCGTCCATTGACACCCTGTACACTTCAGAGGCTGGTCATTCATGCAGAGATGATCCACCAGTTCTCAGGGTATGCTGTCCTCCCAGTGCCTCAGAGCACTCCATAGACTTGTTGGGTGGTAAAGGTTATGCCAATGGAGAGGTATGGAGCTGGCAGCAAACTTAGACCACTTGTTTCCCCTGCATAGGCCTGCAGGTAAAATCTGGAAGAACTCATAGATGAGAGAAATGTCGATCTCATGTCAATGGGTGCCTATCTCAAACTAGGGAGATCTCTTATCATGGACTTTATCTTAGATTGACTTAAACTGACATCATTGTATGGCAGTTATTTTTTCCTCACATGCGTTTGCAGACTGAATAGTTTTGCGTTTTCTACACGTTTACAACAAAAAGTGGCCTTAGGTTCTCTGCAGAAATACATTTCCAACAGGTTGGATAATTCTCCATGGTATTATAACAGATGGTCCTGGTTACAGGATTCCAGAACCCCTCAAGAACTTACATGAGTACTGTCACAAAGAGGTTGATAAAAGTGGATAAGAAAAGTTATGATTATGCCTCCTGACCGCTGAATCTCACTTGCTTTAAGAGCTTGTTAACACCATCTTCAGACCAGGTCCAGACCAGAACTTATTTATCTGGACAATGGTATCCAATAGTAAAATGAGGATAGTTCATACCAGTGCGTTCAGTTCCAGAGCTTTTAAAAAAAGTATAGCATGTTGCATTTTACTGGTCTGGAATGCATAAAAATGCATGTAAGGGCAACGCAAACGCACCAGAATGCACCTAAAACCCAAGCAAAACAGACAAAAAGTGTACCGCAACGCATCAAGAACGTGCATGACTGTCTTTGCAGAAACGCATCCAGATCTGGTCTGGAAATGGTATGAACAAGCCCTAAATGAAGCCTACATACTCAGCATGTCAGTTTTGCATCCAGGTATTGCTGCAGTGCACCATTCCACCTCACTGCTTTTTGTTGGAAACCTGGTGATCTGGGCATACATGCTTTTGATGCAGGAAAGATATTCTCAAACACATGAAAACAAAGAAAGATCTTCCAGAAGCACTACCCCACCTTATTATTGCTGGCAATTCCAAGTCCTGTAACAAATTAATCCAATAGAGAAACAAGTGACCGTACCTATAAAATGATCAGTCTGCAGAAGTTACAACGGGATCTGAACTTTCTATGAAAATATTTTTTAATGCAAAAAAGTATCAAAAACATGACATACAAAATAGACACATTGCACCTTACCCTCAAAATACCAGTTACAAATCTATAAAACGCACCTACTGCAGCATTGTTAAAACACAGGAAGTTAGAAAAAAACCTGTCAGTACTAAGAAGTTTAATACAGTTACTACTCACTACTGGCTTCACTGGGGTTGGGGGATGAGAGAGAGAGAGAGAGAGAGAGAGAGAGAGAGAGAGAGAGAGAGAGAGAGAGAGAGAGACAGAGACAGAGACAGAGAAGGGAGAGAGAGAGGGGAGAGAGAGAGAGAGTACGTTTCAAGAAGGAGAGAGAGAGAGGGGAGAAAGGGAGAGAGCATATTTCCAGAAGTACACTCCCTATGAATTTCCATAGAGCGGCTGGCTTTAGTTTTAGCACAGCTGCAGAATTTGCTGAATAATAGCTCACTGGCTGCTTTCACTTATTTTCTGTAACTGCTCTTTAAAGTTTTTTTCCCACAACATTGCTACTGAGCCAACAGATCTCAGCCAATATCACAAAATATAGTCTCAAAGGAGCATGGATTGTTCCATTACTTAATTATATCAATGTTCTAAAATGATTCTTTTTATTTGCTTAACTTATAAAGCAGCAGAGGATACAACATTATAGGAACCGAATTTAGGACAGTAAAAACAGGGAAGCTGTATTCTGACTGTGTTCAAAATGAGAGGGATGCTTCTAGGGACGAAACAAAAGTCAAGGACATATGTTTAAAAACTGATACTGTCCCCGTAAATAGCTAATTGCCGCTATAAAGTTGTTTAACTAATAATCCAATGAAAAGATCTTATGTAGTTTCAGCTATAACATTGAGAAGTATTTGTATCCCATGAGCATGGAGAGCTATGCATTTCTCATACTGGATACTGACAAGCAAGTAGATAGATAGATAGATAGATAGATAGATAGATAGATAGATAGATTTTATTTGTCACATACACAATCGTACAAGTATGATATGCAGTGAAATGCTTACACGACTGCTTTGTCCGGAGCCCCCCTATCCTGCGACCATCCGTTGATGTTAACTGCTCCAAGTACAATATAGTATTGGCTAAAATGTTCCAGCCTGGTCAGTTAAACAGACCTCAACACTGGAGTAGACTGCATGACTCCTGAGGTCATCCAGGTACTGTCTAGCTGTTATCTGGTCCTGTTAAAATAAAAGGCTACCATTGACTCATTTGCAGGCAACTAGTAGTCCGCCGGCTGCTGTAGAACTACAAGTACCAGTAACCACTGTCAGCTCATTGGTTGATTTATATATGGGCATTCTGGTGTGGCATGCTGGGACTTCCAGCGGAAGTGAAAATCTGCAGGCTGCCCAATACTGCCATAACGTATGGAAGTGGTTCAGTATTGTGCCTGTTCTCAGTTATCATTTAAAATGATAAGTATTTAGCACTAATCATCCCCTGGTTCTGTTTAACATCTGGCTTGTAATAGCTGTCATTGACGGTTATCTATTCACAATCCTCCGCACGAAAAGAAACATCTCAAATTCTCTCCTTATTAGATAAGGCTCGAGTCAGAGCTCAGACAAACTTTTCCTTTCT